ATGCATGTTTTATACTTGAAAGTTTTATATTTGAACAGCTGTAATATTCACGGCAAGGACTTCGTTTTAATAAACTTTTCCAAGTCAAAATTTCTTTCTTGCCACGTGACTGCGAATCCGAAGGAAGGTATATTTACGTGTATTCTCTCCTGCATCACTTGAATTTAGACTTTTCTGACATACGACAAAATTAGAGATACAGATTTATACAATATCTTAATTGTGCGTGGTTACAAATATAATTATACGACATATATCGCTTTGTGTCCAGTTACTATGGCGTAGCATAACGATTCGATATACTGTCGATATATCGAATAGACTGGTATAGTAGAAACGCTCTAGACTTGTATTCGGGAGGTACGCGGTTTAAATCTCTACTTGGTTGTCCTCAGGCTATCCTTGTGAATATTTTGATAGTACAGACAACAGATTATTACTGTTTTTATTCCAAATTCTTATCTGCTGACGATGTATGAGCACATTCTTACTTAATTTTAAACTGTATATTATTTGTAAATGATTTGGCATTGCGTATTTGTTTAGGTAAGATTTATGAATCTTGAAGTCTTTGGAATGTAAAGAGTTCGATGTCACATACCCTGTCCCACCTTCAAATCGTGTACTCTGTTGTCACACCTAAGATTTTATTCCGAGGTTGTAGAAATACCGGGTGTTTAAAAAGTATCTATTCGATAGATACGTAGAGAATGCCAGTATGGTTATTTTTTCTATAGGTTGGTAGCACGGATTTATGATACTTCTTTCTTTTGGTATAACGTTAAATTTAAAATGTTCTTTTGCCCAGTACCTTTTATAAATAAATTTAAATGAAACGTTGGATAACACCAAAAATTCGAATTTAGATTTGAATTGACTGTATGATAATATTTTTGAATAACCTGTGTAGTTGATTTAATTACAGTGTCAGTAATTAAATTAATAAGTAGTTAATCCTATGTTTTTAAAATACCATGAGAAGCTGACCAGTTTTTCAGTTGTACATTTTGGGCAAAAGTTTCTCTAGTTTTAAGAGCAGGTATATATGTTATGACAGTTGAGATAATTAATATCTTACGTTGGTACCATTGGTGGTCTAATTTAATTTAACTAATCTTAATTGGGTGTATCATTTTATGAATCAACGGGCATATCCTGAGCCAGTTCAATACAATCTACCCCTTCACAAACTCTT